CGGTTCCACGCACCCCTGTCCTCCCTGCGGTTCCCCGCGTTTCTACGCGCTCCCCAACCGCTCCTCACGGCCCCACGCGCCCCCCAACGGCCCCCCACAGTGCGACGCTCCCCACACGGCACCCCGCGTGGCCACGCGATCCCGACGGGGCACGGCGGCGCGAGGAGGGGGTCCTGGAGCGGGCGGCCGTGCCGGTGGTGACCGTGAGCTACGAGGCGGGCGAGGAGCTGAAGAGGCCGCCGCCGCCGCCTCGCCCAGGGGTGCGGACGCGGGCCATCCGCAGGAGAAGATCGGCAGCGGCGTGCGATGCAGGACACGGAGGGAGGACCAGGGGCTCCGTAAGTTCCGGCCGAGGTGCGACGCAGGAGAGAAGGGCGAGACCCGAGAAGGGGCATGTTTCTATCAGGTGGGTGTCTGTTGTGCTTGCACGACCACCTGAATCTAGCGTTACCGTGTTACAGGGCCACGTTTAAGGGGGGGGGGGTGCGAAATGCTCCAGGGGGAAGGCGCATCGAGCCCCCATCCGCCAAAACATCGCCGAGATGGGCCCGAGGGCCCTTCCCCGCCCGGGCGCGTGCTGCTGTCGCCATCGGGGGCCTCTTGCCGATCAGTCGGCGATGTATCGCCGATGCCAGCTCTGAAGCGATGTATCGCCGATTCCAGCTTGATGCGTCCCCCTACCCCCCTGAGCCCCCTCGAGGCCCTCAGGAGAAACGTCGGCTGGGGGCGCAAGCTTACCGATTGGCTCCCAGGTTCCAATCGACGCTGGGCGCCTGTCTGCTTAAGGTGTCGAGCGGTTCTCCCTCCCTTCCCTCTTCAAGGGGGCGGTTGGGAGCCCAGTCTGCAACCATCTCCTCTGACCGATGGGTGCGCCCCGCCTCTCGAGCAGCCGCCGCGGGCTGCGCTCCGCCCCAGCAACCGTCGGGCCCTGCGATGGCCGCCCGGGGGGCGGCGAATCTAGGCCTCGTATACGTAGATGGGGTCGGAGGATCGCGCCGCATCGCCGATGCATCACCGATGCTGCTCGATGTGGACCCCGACTTGCTTCACGTCGACGTCGCCAATGCCTCGCCGACGCCGACGATGCATCGCCAGTGCATCGCCGATGTATCGGCGATGCGGCGCGATCCTCCGACCCCATCTTCTCCGACCCCATCTAGGAGGCCTCTAGCAAAGCACTGCGATTTCTGCCCTGGACTCAGCGCGTGTGCAGTGCAACATGCACGCTGCTAGCACGGCTACTTGAGGCCGCCCAGCCGCGGAAACCCCTTCAAGCTTCGAGCACTCAGATGCTTCTTGTGCAAATAGTGCATGGTGGCACCTGGAGCTGCATTCTTTGCCACGGCAACTCTAGTCTGGACGTCGGCGTTCTCGAGTGACGCCGCCTGGTCTCCTCCAATTTTCTCGCACGGGTCTCCTCATCGCGTCTTGAAATTCCTTTCCGCTCTCAGCCAGTTTTGTTCGCAGCGTCACGGTGGTGTAGTGGCGTTCCTGGTGTAATAGCTCCCACGTTGCTTCTCTACAGCAATGTAATAGCTCCCACTTTCTGCCCAATATGCGTTCAACTCCGCTGTCAACTCATGGACAACAACCCGCAATGAGAAGTCGTCCGTGTAGAACGTGATCATGCCATCGGTGTGAGCGCTCAATATTGGCACTGCTTGGCACGCTGCTCCCGTAGTCTCGACGATGCGTTCGTATATGTCGTAATCGCCGATCTCCTCTGGCTGCACGTCGGACGAAAATCCCGTAGACTTAGCCATTGGTATGTACTCTTTGTCGGGTATTGGAACCTATACATTACCAGTGGCGGGCTGTTTTTCAATCCCAGGATTTTTTGAGGGTCGAGGACGATGTCGGGGTGGTGTGGTGTATACGTGTTTCCCCGCTTTCTTGGGGAAGCAACGAAAAATGTAACTACACACCAGGATCCCGCATACACCAGGATCCGCTGTATTGCTTGCCAGTCTCAGGGCAGGCCCGGAACACGCGTCGGTGTATATAGAGTTCGGTTCCCTACTTTGGGCCACTGCCACTGCATGTTTGCCTCGTCGCTTGGTGAGGAAGAGAACGGCTTTCAAGTGCTACCGGCATTCGCGTTACGACGGTGGTTCTTGAATCATGCGGCCCGCTCCCATCTTCTCCCTCCCCCCCCCCAAAAAAAAAATGTTCGCCTCGTCGCTGAAACGAGTGCGCATCTCTTTCTCTCTCTCTCTCTCTCTCTCTCTTCCGGGGCAGCACCTGCTGCCGGCTCGCGGTCCGGCTCTGCAGCTCCGCGGCCCGACCCCGGAGCGGCATGTTCGCCAGGTCGTTGGCGCCAGGAGCTGCAGCGCCGTCCGGCAGCCGCCGTCGGACCTGGCACCGCCTCCGCGCGTGCCAGAACGAGTGTGAAGTCGGACGGGGGGGAAATTCCCAAATAGTTGAAACATAGTTGTGGGACCATGTTTGTCCCTATGTTTGAGCATGTTCGGTGTAGTTTTGGGGGTATTTTCAATTTTTCGCCCATCACCCACCTGTAGGGGGGCAGGCTCGATTCAAAATGAGTGTGTGGGCGAGCCCCACCAGATAGGTTACACAACGTGGATCGCACCACATAGATTGTACCACGTCGATTGATCCACGTAGATTGAGCATTGCATCTTGCATATCATCCATTGGACGACGTAGTTCGTACGACGTAGATTGCACCGCATGGGCTGTGTTACGCATATTGCACCACGTAGTTACCCTCACATATGTAGCACCACATATAGTGCACTTCAGACATTGCACCACGTATACTGCTCCCCACAAGCTGCACCACGCAGGTTACCCCACATCCGCTGCGTCACCACAACGATTGCGTCACATATAGCTCATAACATAGAGTGCGTGTATTTGTTTATTATGTTTACATATATACATATATATATATATATATATACATATGTACACAGTTGCCTGTGGCAAGTCCCGACACCGTGTCAGCCCAGCATTATGGCTTGGGACTGTTTGGGTGTGGGGGGGGGCGTGATGAGGATGAGGGTGAGGATGAGGTTGACGATGGTGTTGTCGTTGATGAGGATGATAATGACCATGATGATGACGACGATGATGATGATGATGATGACGACGATTACGGTGATGATGCTGATGATTATGATGGTGATGATGATGATGAGGAGGAGGAGGAGGAGGAGAAGGACGAAGGGGTGAGGAGGAGGAGGAGGCAGAGGAATACCGTCACGTGTGTCACCTTTCGTCTTCACTATCTGAGGAGCTCTCATGGAACTCGTTTGGGCCGTCTTGGGGCTGTCGTGGCTCCTGTGAGGCAGTCTTGGGGGTCCCTTGGGGCCCTCGTGGGCCGTCTTGGGACCATCTGACGTTGTCTTGGGGCTATCGGGGGCCGTCTTGGGGCCCTCTTGGCCGTATGGTGGGTGTCTGGGGGCCGTCGTGGGGCCGTCTTGGACAATCGGAAGGCCTTCTAAGGCCGTGATGGGTCCCACGGGAGGCCTTTTTGGGCCGTCTTGGGGCCGTCTTGAATGTCCCTTGGGCCATCCTGGGGCCTCTTGAGCCCTCTTGGGGGCCTCTTGGGCCGTCGTGGGGCCATTATGGAGGCTTCCTTGCGCCGTCTTCAGCTGACGAAAGCCCGAAAAGGTGAGAATGCGAACATCTGTCAGAAACACAAGGGGAGTCATTGACTGGCTTCTTCGGGCCCTGTTGGAGGTCCTCTTGTGGCCCTTTTGGGCCCTCTTGGAAGCATCTTGGGCCGTCTTGAGGCCATCTTGGACCGACTTCGATGCATGTTGGGCCATCTTGGTGTCCTTGGTTGCCTGCATGGGCCGTCTTGGAAGCTCGGAACACAGATCCATCGTTTTTCTTCAGACGTTGTGGCATCGGGAGCGCGGACCCATGATTGTTTTACGAGGGATCGTGGCCTGATGGGGGCGATGCATGTGGGGAGATGTTGGTGGGGGGAGGGGCCCCTGCCACGCCTAAACGTGCACAAGGTGCGGTGGCGGACATCTTGGTTTACGAGGCCCAAGGCCCAGGGCCCGACAGCGCATGGTGCGACTGGGGGCCCGGGCCCGTCCTTTAAGGCTTTCGGGACGTCCCAAGAGGTGCCTCAGACGGCCCAAGAGGCTTCCCGGACGTCCCACAAGGCTTCCGGGACGTCCCGAGTTGCTGACATTGTGTCCAAGACGCCCTTGATGGCCTCAGGGTGGGCCAAAACGCCCCCAGGATGCTCGACGAGAGCTTCCAGAAGCCCAAAACGCCCTCAAGACGCTCCAAGACGATTGCCAGAGGCATTCCAGAAGGCCCCAAGAGGCAAACATCAGCGCCTCCAGGCGGCCCTCGGGGCCGCCAAGACGATCAAAGATGCCCTCCAGATGGTCCAGGCAGCTCAATATAGCCCCAAGAGAGCTCTCGGAGCTTTCAAAAGAAGTCCTGACACGTCTTCCCGACGGCCCCCGAATGCTGATGAGAGCGCCTCGAGGTCCCCGAGGAGCCTCTCGAGATGACAGCATCCTTCAACAACGTATGGAACAAAAGTGAATGCTTCTAGCTTTCTCGCCGTGCTGCCGATACACTCCCGCAACTTGAGCATGACCCCAGAGAGGCTCCCCAGGGGCTTCGACGACGCCCCCAAGGGGCCCGAAGAGGCTCTCAAGAGACTCCAAAGAGGCCCCCAGGGGGCCCCCAGAGGCCCTCAAGAGGCTCCGAGATGCCCGACGGGATTCCGACGACGCCTCGAAGAGGCCCCCTCAACAGACCCCAAGATGCCCCAAGAGGCCACCAGGAGGCCTTGCAAGAGGCCCGAAGATACCCCCAAGACGCTCGAAAAACGCTCTCAGGAGGCCACCTGGAGGCCGCCAGGAAGTTGAACATGTCTGCAACATCAGTTTTTGGATAAGCCGTTCTGGATCAAGCCGTTCTGGTTCTTCTCATTTCCGTGACAGGTCGAACGACCAGACGCATTCGCAGCACGTGAACGTACGGACGCCGCAAGTCCGCAGACG